GTACATGTAATTTGTTTATTCTTTTGATGTTTATTGTATTACCAAATAAATATTGTTGAAAACTTGGAATATTTATGGCTAAAAAAATATAGGTATAATATTGATTGTGAAATAATTTTTACCACGCGTTAGTCAATGCCAAGAGGTTTCGCGCAGTCATATAGTTACATGTGCAGAGTTGTCGTTAATTTCCATCTCGTTGTTTACAGGTGCCGCTGTATGTGCTGCAAGGGAATTTTCAACATCTTTTTAGTTCTGTATAGATCAATTTTAATTTAATCAAAATATAGTATTCAAATTAAGTTAAATGAAATTCAATTGCATTTAGTTTCATGTCATTTATCAAAGTTAGATAAATTCAGAAAATGGACTATTTTATGGCGGACGTTTATGCAAGTTTACATTGAATATCACAGGAGTAAATTGGTCGACACAGAAGCCCCACGGACGGTCACTATATAATCAATACAAATTACTGCGCTTAGAAAGCCCGTGATGACCAAGGGAGATTGAACATAGTTCAACTCCCAAAAAGCTAGCTCACTTGCGAGGCGGTATATGTTCCCTATATACTGTCCGCTACAATATTCCAGAACGAATATATTCCGATTGTGTATATTGACGTATTTTAAGACTACCTTTGTCCGTCTCTTAGTCCGTTGGTAAGTTTGCCAGGCCCTGTAATTATAACCAAACTTTACTGTTATTCGTTTTTAATTTCATGCACATACGTTCATATTTATAGAAAGCATTGATAAATGTTCTGATAGTTTGACAATAAAGATCAATGTGTCTGATTATGTATGCAAAACATTTTGAAGATCAATTCATGATAGTTTAATTTAAATTCAGTATGGGGGTAATCAACGAAGAAGACATGGTCCTGCACAAAAGACATATTTTCCGTAGTTAATAATGGACGCATTTACCTTGGGAACCCGGTTCATTATTCACGGAGTCTTTACTTGCTTAGATAATGAAGCTTGTTACGAAGATAACGAGCAAGCTTCGGCGTATAAATACCTTCTCTCCAGCACATTGCTAGATCTTTCACGCGCCTTTAGGCGTCCGGAGCCATTACAATGTCTACTAATGAATATATTCTTCATACTGATCATGGACAGAAACGTATGCTATTGAAGTTCTCTAATGTTTCTTTTGAAGATTTTCAAGGGTTTCATCGTTGTTTTTGATGTAATTTTGTAGTTGTGGATGTGTTCCAAAACAAACCATTGGTCTTGTTGTAACTTTACTTTCAATAATTATTGTTACACGTATGACTCCAAATCAAACTAAGAGGTACTGTGAGCATTGAACTAACAAAATGATACCCCTGCCTCCCATATGATTATAATGGCAAAGTCCATGGTTTGCTATGGGAGACCCGAAATAAGTATCAGATCAAATGTAAAATAGGACGTGCACAATAGCACTATGTAATAAAGAATCTGTGAAATTATCATTAAATTTTATTCAGTGGTATAGGAGGAGTTGTGGATAAGAGATGGGTACCCCTCAATATTATAGAAAAATTGGCAGTGTCCTTGTTTTGCTATGGGAAACCCGAAATATGTGTCCGATCAAAAAGTAAAATAGAAGGTGCACAATGGCACTATGTAATAAACATTCTGTGAAAGTCTCATTAAATTTCATTCAGTGGTATAAGAAGAGTTGCGGATAAGAAATGGGTACCCCAAAGCGTAACGGACAGACGGACTTACGGACGTACAGACAGCTAGACGGACAGATGGACACCCTCATCACTACATACCCCCTGCTTTTCAAGCGGGACTTCAATGAGCATATAATGAAAATGCATAAATTCTTTTAAATGTCGTCTCCTCTTCCCTTGTATATTAAGCTCTCCCCCTGTATATTAAGCAGATAAACTAGGAGGTTACGATGAGCAAGAGTACCTCTCCCAAAATTGTGATCTGATAGGAAAGGGGGGGGGCTATTGATTACATCGTGAAAATGCATTATTTCTTTGAAAATCTTTCTCTACGCTCTTGGGGATCTAGCAGACAAAATAAGTGCAAAGTTATGATGAGCAGGGATCATGGCACCTGAGTCAAAGGTTCTGGCGTTAGGGCGGGGATCTATAGATCAAATGAATATGCATGAATTATTTAAATATCTTCTGGATATTTAGCAAACAAAGTGCCTAATTATAGTGATAAAGGGTCCTCTTCCACAATTGTGAACTTCATAGCCCCTGGGTCAAGAGTTTTAGTGTAAGGACGGGGCTCTTTTGCATGTATTGTGAAAATGCATTATATCTTTTGAAATCTTCTCTGCTCCCAGGTATTTAGAGCCATTCTCTGTAATGACATAAACTTATATATAAGAGCTGTGGCATACATCGTCTCAGAATTTCTCAAAACTCTCCATGATAAAAGTATTTGATACCATAAACTAAAAATCATGCTTAAGTTAGTTGATAAATGTCATGGTTACCATGGCCAAATGCCCTAAATATCGAAAAATGGCATTTTTAAACATGTTCAGAGCCCTATGGTTAACGTTTGCAACAATACAGACAAGTGACAATAACTGTTTCCAAAAGATGGAAGGTTGATGTCTTAAATGCATGATAAACATATTAAGGAAATCAATTATTACATACCTTACTATGGAAACAAAATATTCAAAATTAATAATTTTATTCATTCATTTTTATAAATTTATAAACTCAAAAATAAAACCAATTATTGGTGATTTGAAATCAAATAATAAAGATCCTTGTAACATATTCCAGAAAGAAATATATTTATTGGTTGGTAATGGTTGCTATGGTTTTAATACCGCAAAGAAATTTCAAATTTGCTCTCTATATGTTTAAACTGATTCTATCTTTTTAAAGAGCCAAGGGTGACTGCGCTTAACGCCGGGTTTTTGATCTTTTTCTGTTGCTTCTGTTGCTTTTATATCTTTACTTTTATTGTGAGATTAATAACGGTTCGTAATCTTCACATTTTACATTCAAACCGTTTCCCTCTTTCTAATGCAATTATGTTTGAATATGGAAAATCTTTACAAGGCATATGATAAAATTATCAATGTTTCATTAAATAATGACATGAAAAGACAGATTATTAACACAGCTGTTAGTGGCTAGTATTTTGATTAAGATAAAGATAAATAAACTATTATCACGATCAATGAATTGTAATTTAGATACATGTGGGTTTTTTTAATTAATATATTGTGATTTAATCAAATAATCCTTTCTATCTGTAGTTAAATCATATTATATTAAAGAATCTTGTGATAGAGGGATACATAAAGATTGCCATCAATACAATATCTGAAATGATGCTGTGTACGTGAAGATCTGAAATAGAAGTAAAAAATAAAACAGAAAATCCATTATTGAAACTGTCAAGTTCCTCTCTAATTGGTTTATAATTATAATTAAAAATTATGGATAATTAAAAATTATGGTATGATTTCAGTATAATGACTATTCCTTCGCCCGTAGTAGGTACCGGTATTTTTTAAAATCATTTTTTGTACTATGTGTCTTTGTACGAGCTTTAGTAATTGCTTCCCTCTTCTCAGTATATGATCCTATATGTTTTCAATCATTGCGAAAGTCATCGTAATCCATAGAACTTTGAACAGATTGATTTATTGAATTAACTTTAGATATCGAAGATTATAAATTTTTTCCCCAAAGGTACTAGCATTTGTTATATGGTGTGTTAATTGTAAAAAGGTCTTTGCTTTTAATTTTGTTGAATTTTTTTATTAGAATATCTGTTGTGAAATCTTTTGCAATGATGTATTTGTTAACATGTTTTAGTTATGGATGTATTTGATCACCAATAACTCTGAACCACTCAAAGGGCTATGTATAATATTTAATGGTCAACCAGACATCAATTCAAATGTAGACTCATTTATCATTAACAAAAGAAATATTATAATAAAATTCTTTAGAATGAAAATAGAAGCAAATTCCATAACCTTGTATAATTGAGCATGTCAAAGAATACCATTTCGACAAGAATTCATGATATAGGTAATCAGGTTCTGTTCTTTTTTAAACTTAAAGGTTTATTCTCGTAACGAGAGTTTTTCTTATTTTGTGCGCCCCTTTAATCTTTATTTTTATATAATTCAATATGGATGAGAAGAAACACTCTGTAAAATGTTACTGTTTACGTAAAGTAAGGTTAATAGCAGAAAAGTAGTGTTGTATGTAAATTATTCACTTTTAAATTAGATCTGGACCTCAACTTGTTCTTTTTCAATGCTTTATTCTAAGATTTCTTGCGTGATTTCCATATTAGTACTTAGAATAAAGTTCTGCAACTATACAATAGGAACATCTTTAAAGCAATTTAAATGTTTGAAAGTATTAATGAGGAGTACGTTTCCCCACATTTGATGAAGCCTGTTTTGAAATTTTAAATGAGTTTCTATGATGAAAACAATTCAAACAATCTTACTCTATAGTTATTTTCTCTTTATGCAGAAAGAAAATAAAACTGAAGCTTGCTTAACATTACAGGTTCCCATGCTTTTAAGTTTGGTAACTCTGTAAAAAAATGGATATGGTTTTCTTTATTATTTTGGCGTATGTCTGTTTTAAAGCGACCTTTGTCCGTTAGTCCAAATTTAAGAGAAATCATTGATTTATTATAATGCAAGACCCTGAGCTGTGCTTTGAAGTGCAAAAACTAATTAACCGGGCTGCTTTTACCAAATGTTTGAGGTAAAAAAAAATAAAAAGCGTTACAAGTCCCTGAGTGAATGCTCTCACTTTTTCCTCAGTCTTATAATAATTGTTTAATCACCAGAGAATTCATCCAATGATGTTATTAATTATTTATTCAATCATCACGGGAAACTACAGAAAAGGAAATTTAAACAGGTGTAACAATGGAATGGATGATGGTAAAAATCGGTAAATAGGACTGTCTCCCGCAGATAGAGTATTTCCCTATTGTGTTGAAATGATAAGAGTATGGACTTTGCATTTTGTTCTCCTTGGTCAACAATACACTTTTGTTTTCAGGACAGAATATAGTGGATGGATTAAGGAAGTGAAGTTTTGTGTTTGTCAACCAGCAAAGCACATCAAAGTCAAGGTAAGTCATACTGAATTGTCACAGGAAGAAAGCAAGGACAGAATTAATAGAATGGTGCAGATAATTGAAAAATTATCCTGTCGTAATCTGCAACCTTGTTTAAATTTGCTATCAAACTTTGTCGTATTGTTACTGTTTTACAAACATGTGATAATGGTCCTTGATTTTATTGCGTTGTCATTCTGTAAAAGGTTTAATGTCATAATTACTGTAGAAATCGATGATGAATTTGATTTTAAAAGAGGCCTTACGAAAATCGATATTGTTTTAATGAATGAATGATTTGAGAGACAGGAAATGTAGAGAGATGAACAGGAACTGAAGAACTGGATCATCTGATCACGTGATTTACCAAAATTGTTTATCGTAGTTACTAAAAGAAGGTCAATTTGTTTCTTCGCTTGATTTCAACATTCATGCTTCAATACTATCTATCTTATGCTTTCTGCTATTTTTATACATGTATTTGGAGTTATTTTGGCCCGATATCACAAATCACTGAGTTTGAAAATGTCACAATAATGTCAAGGGTGAAAAAGCGTCAACACTCTTCACTGATTACATTTACAAGCTTTCTAGTAATTAAACACCTTTTTGCACGCGTCTTTTAACTATACTCTATAGCTATAGATAGAAATGAAATTAAGATGTAGAATTTTTTCAACTGGACCATATTTATACGCAAAGGTTCTTTTTGTCTATTTTTTTTTTCCAAATGAAAGTTAAGGTGGCTCCGAACTCAATGACGTCATCATTAGGTAGTATTTTTTTTTAACACTTAACGGTCATTATTTACAGAATACCAGAATTATTGTAGATCTTCTTTTTAAGTGTAATAACCCTCTGCTCTAAATTTCACTTTTTTTTAAATTCCCAACGTTGATTTTCATCAACAACAATAGCATCAAATTCAAATCGTAAAAAATAATTGAAATATGAAGCGTTGCTTACTTTTTCTGAAATGAATACATATGTATTATGTCTGATCATGATATGAAGAAATTTTGACACAGTGAATACAAAGTTCAATAATTTATTATCTCAACGTAAAATTAAAAATATGAAAATAATATTTAGTGTCAAACATATTAAATTCATGCTCGAAAACATAATGAAGCGGTGCTTTATACCGAGTAAATCAGAATATCACATTGTTGTCTGTGCTTGTAAAAATGCATCCATCTACAAGAGTTATCTGTCCATATATGTGGTATCTTTTTTCAAAATATTTTCAAGGTAAAAATATATAATAAATGAAAATTCTACATCCGGTACATAATAAATTACTGTACAATTAAATAAAAATGTTTATTAAGAGATAGAAATATCTCACTTTTTAACAGTTTATAAGAAACAAATGTTTTAGGTAAAATATTAAGTAACTATCAAAAATATTGGCAAAGAAAGTTAAATTAATTTTTTTTTAACATAAGTCATACTTGAATGAATAGACTATACAGCTGTGTTTTAAACTCTGGTAAGACAATTCACCGGACAACTTGGATTAATTTCCTTGGGAAGTTATCTCTCTTATCAGAGGGCCATTGCATTAGTAGCAACACAGTGCGTTTTTACTGTACGTTTGAAAAGTTCTAATATCATCTACATTTACATTACAAATTGATCACCCCTCGTAAAATAATGCTTTCTCTTTTTACTAATGCAATATGTCTTATTATATAATGTCTTTCTAGAGCTACGGAGTTGAAAGTGTATAACTCTTCTGAGCCAGTGGCCAGTGAAAGCTCAAGTTTATTAAATAGCTGAAGTATAGAATCTGTTTTTTTTTCTTTCTATTTCTTTCTTCAAACACTTCGGTTATTTAAATTTCAAAGGCTATAAAAATGAAAGAAACAGCCGTTTATTGAAATAAAATTAAACCAAAACACACAGTAACATAATAGTATTATTTATGTGCTCTTTTTCTGTACTTTGTTATGGTACTGCTCGATTTGTCCAAAAACACATTTAGCTAAAGAGACTGAGAGATAAAAGGTCATACAAACTATTTTTCATATTAATCTGCATTAGAAACGGTAAGCTTCTTTATGATGCAATTTTCCGTAAGTCACGATTCCTACCGTTTGCGAGGTATTTCAATACTGCCTAACATAGTTCAAAATCTATAAATATATAGTTATCTACCCAAATAAGAACTGATGTGTGTAAAAATGGAATGGAAAGGTCTATTTTAGTCTTTTCCACAGAATGTGTAGCTAATTGATAGAGGCTTTGTTATCACAGAGGGCTCCATGTCACACAAACATTATTGTTTTTAGATTTTTTTTACATGGCCGATTTTGTGGTATTAGGAAATCTTTGAGTAAGATAATTGGATCTAGAACAAAGAGTATCAAAGGTCGATTGTTTCTCCAACTTCTAACAAACTACTCACCAGAATCATTTGTAAAACAGGTAAAATGAAATATTCATAGATTTGTACCTGCCGCTAATGAATCTAATGAGGTCAAATGAAGGGCGCTGGTATATGCATGGTTACTTTTGCATCTTTAACCAAAAGGTTGTTTTGCCTATGCACATCCTAAAAAATCTCTTCTTTTTTTTCAAACCTATGTACTTAATTCAGGTTGATTATTATACTTCTGTATCATATCAAACATACTTTTATTTTGCATTCTCAGTCTCAAATCTTTATTGATATATACCTAAGAAAAGTATCTAAATTTATTTCGAAATGCCTCTTCTTAACTTCCGAGAAATTACTAGAAAAGCTTTATCTGTAGCAAAATAAGATATTCAGTGTAGAAACATGAAACATTTTTAATAATAAAAAAAGCATGTGTTCTAGTCACCGTTCGTGTGGATTTCTGGATTCTGACAGCTGTAGAGACAGGGAACATTTGGAAGGAATCGTGGACTATTAAAGGAATTGTTTATCTCCCAAAGAATTCATGCCCTACTTCAACAAACTTTGAAATAATAAAGGCCGATACAAAGTAAAATGAAGATTGTATGGATAAATGAAAGACTTCTATATCATACTGAATTTCCAATTTTCGTGTGCTGATTATTAGTCTAGGTTTACCTTTAATTAGTAAAACCTCCCCCACTCGGGGAGTCAGCTGACGTCGTTACATAGAAGCCGCTTTCATTCCCAAGGATATCGATCAGGAGACAGGTGTCCTTGTTTTCTCTCTTCAAGATACACAATATGGATGTCCTCAATATTTCCATGTGATTTTAGCGTTAACTTTTGCTATTTTTTTTCAGTCTAGAGAGTTCAGTTGTCATTTGTTTAAAGGTTAATGAATAAAAAATATGAGCGCAAACTTAAATTATTGTCCGAAAATCAATCTTTACCAAATTCAATGCTCATTTTGCATTAAATTTGAAAAATATTTGAATAGATATGAAGAAATTCAATTCAAAATATGATTTTTATTTATTTTTAGTTTAGAAGACAAAAATCCATCGAGATAATGTCACCAAGCGGCGAGAAATCATTAATAGTAGAGAGCTGCAGATGCTGTCATTAAACTTATAGCGACTGCCGAATAGCTCCAGGTTCCCGAGTAACAAGCGTCGAGAATGTGATTTACCGTTTTTAGGTGTCAATCATTGAACGCTGGAATCTGTTGTATAGACGATTAGCCTCACAACTCTTTCACAAAGTGCTGAAAATTTCTCCACATTACTATTGCGACGTGATGGGAAATCAGACTGGCATTTTCCTAATATCACGGGATAATGATTGACTACAACGACTTTTGTTTTTCTTCACATCACATTCTTGCTTTCACTTTGCCTGTGTGCTTGTGAGTTAATAGAGTGCTTGATAACATGACGAATAGAAAAGGTTTTATGGTACAGCAGAACACATTTTTGGACACCATTGCTACCAGATTTGACGGAACACGTAAGTACCAATTTTTAAGATTAATTTTCAACTTATTCTAAAACAGTAATTTTACCTCTATCAAATAATTGAAATGGGTAAAGTAACGTCGTTTCAATTATTTTATTTAATGTGATTTATTATTGCCTCCCACATCTGTTTTAAGTGCATGGTGTAGAATTTTCTAAAATATTTAGACTTTTGTCACCTTTATAACTCAGTTGGTGATAGTACTAGTATTTATCGACTCTTGCTTCGATTTCCCAAAGGAGTTTTGCAATAAAATAAATGGATTACCGTAAAGAGATAGATAAATTTCCCTGTGTGAAGAAAGGCTCTTGGCAATTAAACTTGTCGATACACATTATTGTACATTAACGGCCACTTTGCTGCATTTTGCATGAGAAAGATTGAACTATTAACTTTGATGTATTTACGATGCGTCCAGTTCTCTTTTAATAATAGCACTGCATGGACAGGGGTTTTACCATTTATATATTACAAATTTAGTAATGGCGCGTCAGATCTAGCCAGATGGTCACATTGTTTTGGACTAGAGATGGATTGTTTTCTGCCTTGCATCGATATGAAGAATCAATCCTGACGTATGTAAAGCGGGCCTTACAGGTTGATTTCCGATAGATTATTCTCAATAAATCTGCCGATTTAAACAGGATTTCGGACATCATGAATTAGCAGCCTTTTAGCAGATGTTTGCTAAGAACTTGAGGTGATTTATAATATAATTAGAACATGGCACAAAAGTCAATGGTACTGAAAATCAGCAACTGCAGAGTAATGATTTCCGGATTAAAATATCAATAATAATTGAGCAAAATATCTCGGTAAAGGCATGTGTTTTGTCTTTTAATAACAGTGTTATGATTAATCTTGGGGAATGATGAAGAAAGTCATTACACATTAAGAAGCAATGGAAATGTGCTTCATTCGAAATTTGATGGTAAATTTATTTAAATTGATATTCCATATTAATACTGAATAGATAGTGATGGTATTTCATGTATTTTTTAGTAGATACTGAAACATTTCCTATAGAACGATACACATTTTTGATCTACACAGTAATGGTAACCAATTCTGGCCCCAAGACCATAAACTGAGAACAGACTTAAGTCAAAATTTCTAACAATATAACATTTGAAATAATTTTGATATTGAAACAAAATTTTCATCATATGTTTGAATTTAAATGTTATATAAAATTGCAAATTTTTAAGCAAATACATTAAAGAAAACTCATGATATTAAAAAATCAAAATTTTGACTTAAGTTTATTCTTAGTTTATTGTCTTGGGGCCAGGACTGAGGAGACCCCTTATCCTTTTCAATTCATGGAATATTGTATGGAACACACAGTGCAATACTGAGACAGGATCAATGCCTTATATTAAATATAAAAGAAAGTCAAGGCAGTGTGTAATATGGAATCCAAATTGAAAAGAATTTGGGTTCTCCTCAGTCCAGAATTAGTTACCAAAATTTTTCAAAGGAAAACATAAGCACATTACCATGAGCGGAGATGTTGCATTCAGGCAAACGCAATTCTACATATCTTCAAGTCAGACTGTTCACTTATATGTAATCTATACAATGCATCTTAATTTCATGTATAGGTTCTTATCATGATTAGATTATTTTCCATCCAACTCGTCAGTGCAAGCAGTTCTAAGTTGGTCTAAATGTATGAATAATTGTCCACATCCACAAAATAGTATAGATATTTACCATGATTATAAATAAATATATAGGCCCTTACATATATTTAGCAATTAGAAAACGGTATTGACGTTGGTAGTACTTAGCCATGGTTGTTAGAACTATGCTGGTCAGCATTCTGGTTCGTGTTAGGAGCTTACTCAAACTAAAGAAAGGACTACTGATAATCTTTAATAGAAGTATTTCCTATGTTCAGGTATTAACAACGAACAATTTATGAAACCATCATCAAAGCAATAGAATGGGTCTCTGCAAATTCATGAAAATAAAAGAAATTTAATCAGATTGAAAAGAAAATGTTAATGTATGCGTGCAAAATAAATTTAATGAGGCATTTATGAATCTGTATTGGACTCTACAACAGCTGAGTAGATAAAAATAATTTTTGTGCAACAGTTGTGTTTATACAATTAGATTTCGAATATTTTCATTGTATTGCATTTAATGGATCATCTAAGCGGTGAAAACTTGAATAACACGATAAACGAAATCGATACATACATTTATATAAAGTAAGTACATGTGGTTTTTTTTAATCTGAATTCAGATTGATAAAGTACATGTCTACATATATGACTGTTTTATTTGTTTTCTGAATTCTACGAAGATGTATTCTCGATAGGGTGTGTCATATTTAAGCATGACAGTATATTTAAAATATCACACAATTTATAAACATGAATAAAATGAAAAAAGATGAAGATAACGAACATTGATCGATCTAAAATAAAAAAATCTACAAACAATGCATATCTGTCAACAGGGCATAAAACACAGAAATTCCAGTGGTGGGATGAAGTGAAAAATGACAAAAAATTAAGTGAAAAGAGAAAGTTGTCTCTCATGAACGACAAAAAGGTATGACCCGGAAATGCTCCAAAAATATAATTTTCCATAAAATGAATATCATGTCTACATATGATTCATAAATCAAATAAGTTTTTACTTACATTTAATGATATCTGTATATGTGAAATTTGACATGTTCTTTTCAAAGAGTATTACAAGTACTACACTTTTGTTGCTTTAAACGTTGGATCAATATAGAGACGCACTTATAATGCATTTTTTTCATTTGTCGCTACTTCCAATCACGTGCTGGGATATTCCTTTTTTTTTTGATAATGCATGTGGTATCCACTGGGATTATAACTATCGTATTCTGTGGTGGCATTTGAAACCCTGTTATTTATGTGCTGTGATCGCTCTTGGATTTCTCTAATTATTTGTTGTGGAACAATGAGCCACTCACACCCTAACAATTATGTGTTATAATTGCTACATGCTAGGGGTATCCTGTGATAACTATTGAAGCTCAAACAATGAAATACAGTGATGGCTATTGTGATCTTGTCAATTAAGTACTTTTGTAGCTACTGTATTAGTACCAATAATATTTTACAATACCTATTAAAGGTTCTGTTAATGAAGGCGTGTACAATATTTTTAAGTCCTAATATCCAGGGAAAGCTTTTTGGGGCCTTTCAATCATCTATTGGACCCTTCCAGTAATACATGTATATACGACAGGTATTGGGGCCCTACCAATAATTACTGGAGGTGATATTTTTTGGGTCCTTACCAGTGATAGACTGTGATAGCTACCATTGCTTGGTTCCGACCAAATGAATTGCTGTGATAGCTATCGAGACTTTACCAGCTGACGTACTACGAACATGGCATATTTATCCTGCTTCTGATAAACATCTTCAAATTTCTTTGGTCGCGAAGAATATTGTATTAAACCATAATCCCTCTTATACCCATAGCTCCTTTTCTTAAAAGGAAATTCATCAAAATCATATGTCAGTTTTGAATATTTTTAATATTCCCAAAAACCAAAATGAATTTGAATTACCATATTTATATTGGATTCCGAAACTTCATTAAAATCCTTACAAACAAAGATACATAGGGGGTTCCAGTAAATGTTCTACCAAGCCTCTTGCTTTACTCCTCAATTAATATTAACAGTAATGAAGGAGAAACTTCAGGAGTATTGTGCAACAATATATTCAAGAAGTGGTGTAAATCAGATGTGGATGCTTTGGAAAATTCGAAATCACAAAATTTTACCAAAATCATTAACATAAAAACCTAAGACTTTTCAACTCTGTATACAACCATTTCCCACGATGATTTAAAATGGAACTCGTAAATACTTACCTTATCATTGGTCATTTGCAAAATTATTTTGTTAAAACATTCTGATTGTACACACAAGTACTTTGAAATTGATATTAAAAAGATGCGTGAGTTTCTGATTGACAATATCTATGTGATTTTTTGGAGACCAGGTCTTCCAACAATCTATTGGAATTCCCATGGGTACCAATTGTGCTCCGTTGTTAGCAGACATTTTTTTGTATTTAGATGAAGCAGAATTTATTCAAAATCTTATACATGTACATGAGAAAAAGAAGTCTCTTGCTGCGGCCTTCATTTCGACATTTAGATATATCGACGACGTATTATCAATTAGCAATAGTCATTTCCATTCATATGTCTACACGATATATCCCAGTGAACTTGAAATAAAAGATACCACAGAGTCTGACCTATTTGTTTCATATTTGAATATTTTGCTACAAAAAGACTTTAATGGTAATATAATAACAAAGCTTTATGATAAACGTGATGCCTTTAACTTTTCAATCGTCAGCTTCCTTTACTAATACAGCAATATACCCTTATCACCTTCATATGGGATGTATATGCTATATCTCTCAGTTGAACATGGTCTACGTATGAACAATTTCTAAAACGAGGTAAGTTATTGACAAATAAGTTGATGAAACATGAATATCAACAGTTTCGTTTAAAGTCATCATTTCGTAAGTTCTATGGTCGATACAATGACCTTGTCAGCAAATGCAATCTATTTTTAAGCATATGCTAGCTGACGTTTTTCATACCAATTGTTAGGCCATTATTTACACACTGAATTGTCGACGGATTTTTCCGTTATTTCTCGATCATGACAAGGAGCACACGGCAGGTGTGACTGGTCGGCATAGGATACTCACTCCTTCATGGCACCTGATCACACCTCTGATGTTTTTGGAGGTCCGTGTTTGCTCTGCTCACGATTTGTATTGTTTTAATGGACTTAGGGCTTGAATACTGTTCGTTATCTCCATATTTCATCCTGCTGCTTACTGACTTAATATTGTTAATATGCCCCCTCCACGTGATCTACTGACCAGATATCAAATTAATATCCCCCTTTTCTCGTGACCTACTGACCAGATATCAATTCCATATACATGTATCGTTTACAATTG